CACGCGAGAGCCGCGCGGCGCTCCCCGCAGCTTTGGCGCGGGCGCGGGCGGCCCGCGCGCGCCTGGGCCGCCTGGTGGCATTAGGAATCGCTCTGCCCTTGGGCAAGCGGCTCCTGCCGGGGAAGAATAAAGGCGAGTAGATTGCAGGTGGCGGCAATCGGATTTCYAGATCGGTGCTTTCTGGGACATCCCACCCGCCTCCTGCCCTCCAAGAGMTGGGCAGTTTTCCGCGCTGAACGTAGAAGCACAATTCTAGCAGTTACAATACTAATAAAAAGAGATGATAGGATCAACAGCAATGTTGCTGCATGCTGTTCTATAAATATTTAGGATATCTTCATGCAAGAAATCAGCGTTTCATTTTTTTTTCAATAAAATACTGTGTGTCAACACTGCATGTATCTAAACAAGCAYGTTGGAAAAAGCGCTGCGAGGCACGTGCCTCCACTCCCTGAGCCTGTGTGAATCCGTGAACTCTGGGGGGTTTATTTACATAGAAACCCCTCTGAAGGYTCGTTCTTTTTGTGGTACAATTCATATCCCTGACCAAATGGAAAGCTGCAGGAGTTGTCACTGGAAGTTTGRTAGTAGCAGCTTCAACCTCAGTTTGTGGTAAGCTCTGGGTACAAGAAAAGCACACCCAAATGASCGTTAATTGACAGGCATCTTTCCATTCGCAGCAGAAATTTCCAAATAATAGCGTCATCCCCCAAACACTATTTCTATGTCAGAACTAAATCTATCCAATTGTTGGTTACAGCAGAAGCAGCAGAGAGCCTATATCYTGGTTTTGTACACAAACGATTTAGTATTATCCAGTATCTCATAAACCTAACAATTCTTTTGTGCTTAGTTTCTACATGACATAATATAATTGTGTTTTTAAAATTCTATAAATTATTAATATAGGAAAGCAAACATAATCTGAGAGACAAATTGACACCATACTGTCCCGGCAGGCCATCCTCCCCCCCGGTGGCCTGCCAGTGGCCCTTAGGTTTATTTTTTTGGCAATCACTCCTATTGACTTGAGAATAACTGTTCATTCTCCTTCTGGCTACCCCTTTCTCCCCTTTGCCTGCAAGTCAGATGCCTGTTTCTAATGTCTGAATTAAACGCTGTTCTTCTCATGTAGCTGAATCATATCTTACTAACTGGAAAAAATTAGTAGCGTTCAGACTCTGTGATCAAAGACCAAGCACTTGCATGGAACCTCCACAGCAAAACTTGTATCATCCAGCTCTGAAACAAGCCTGTTTTTAGCGAACTAAGGGAGGCTCAGCCAAGAGCCCATAAACATTCCCTGCCCAAAAATTCTTTGCATCAATAGTGCCCGCAGACAGACACACAGTATTTTGAGCTTCAACTCTTCTGAATCAGAGATGATGAATCAGGACAAACAGCTTCAGCCAAACAAGAATATTCAGTGTTTTTATCTCTCTCTCATCTATGCGCAGCACTGCACACTACCGCTTCCCCTTATGACAAGGTTTCATACAATGAAAAAAAATGAAATCATATTTGCCTGGTTTCTGGTTGGCTGCAGAAGAGGCAGAACTCTGTTGCTTTATTTCAGCAAGCTTTACCATTTCTAAACCAGTCTATTATTTCATGGGGATCATACACGTCATTAGTGTCACACTGTTGGGACATTTGTTGAATGCTCATATAAAGACACCATTAAAAAGAAAGGATTTGCATAGCTCATAGTTATGGAAAAAGTCTTGAACCTTGGCTTCGGAGTTGAGACAGACGCACAGCAACTTCTGAATACACTCTGCTGTCACAGATTTCTTATTTTTCCCCTCAAAATGGCGTGCCCAGTGGCTACTGGAAGCAGGGGCTGGACAGGCCAGCCCTTGCCGTCAGGAAGCGCATAGACAACCAGAATGTCTCAATGGCAGTTGAACATCACACCTAGGAAAGCATTGTTTTATATTTATTACCACTCTGTTTTATGGGAATATCATCACAAATGGCTCATTTTAAAGTTYCTTTTTTCAGCTGCAAGGGGTTTTTGCAAAATTACAGATATTGTTGCGCAGAATGAGTARATACAAAACCACTAAAACTTATCTATAGTTGTAGAGTCTATATGTTGCATYACTGGGAATATTGTAGAATAACATTGATTACCCAATGTTAAAAAAAATCCACATTGAGAAACAGAGAAACAAAAATCATAAAGGTCTGAAAACACCTTAATATTGAAAAATCTGTGCTATTTACAATAGAAAAGAAAGACCATAATGAATTATTTAAAATTATGCATGGAATAGAGAAGGCAGGTAAGGAATTGTTGTTTTCCATAGAGCAATAGAATGAAAAGAGAAGGAAAGAAATTCCACAGGGATAAAAAGAGATATTCTTCACATAACACATAATTAGAAGATGCTATCACACAGATTTTTATTGCCCGTGATGAAATATCWTGGGCAATGATGAAAATGAGAAGAATTTTCCAGTATCTATGAAGGACCTCATCATATGTTCAACATATAGATGATATATCCAATTTTCACATTTTTAGCAGAAATTGAATGATTACTAAACAGCAAAAAGCAGGATACAGAATGCAAATGAGACTTTCAATGGAAAGCAAAAGAAGCAGGTGGAGCAAAGATGAAGAGAGAGAATAAAGTGGAATAGGGATGTGCAAGCACAGAATGTGACTTACTTCTGGGTTACCTCTTCTTTTCCATTTGGGTTTCTGACTATAGTCATGTGAATGTGATGAAAAAGATATCTATAAACATTCAGGAAGTAGCCACTAGCAGTGCTGAGGTACAAATTAACTGGATGTTRCTGTTTAGGATGCCAAAAGGCTGAATTAGAGCCAAGAGTATAACCCTGTGAGTCAAACGGTGAGCTATTTGATAGGAAGCAGCGTTACGGCTTTTTACAAAAGCGGAGCAAGCATATCAGAAGTGCTCTGTTTYGTATGAAAATAATCTGAATTACGATGTAGTTTTTCTGCTATTTGTGAAGTCTTTCTCTGTAACTGTTAGCTACCTACGTGCAGTTCRTTTTCTCTATGCAGAGTGCACCTATTAGGCCCATGACACCCAGGAGAATGGTACGGAGCTTCCCACTGTGCTGTCTCATTTTTATTTGTCAATAAGATTTGTGGGTTGTTTTGACTTACAGAAAGAGTACATGCCCTTTCTGAGGATTGTGCGAAAAAGTATCATTCGCAAAACAAATTTAAGGGAAAAAATGCTTTATAACATCTTACAGTACTGAAATTTTTGAACTTTATTGGAGTAACTGGATGCAAATTGTAACTAGTACTTCAACATTCTTTACTGTTTAGACATATTTGCTGTGAGACAAATGAACCAGTTCAGATAAAGTAAAAATAATTAAATTATTCACTCATTTCTCAAAATCTGATTTGAGGCCTTTTGTCATTAATCCAAAACAGGTAGCGAGCAAAATAAGAATTCTCCCTGCTGTAAGCGGCTCTGTCAACAACAATCAGACCGCAGAAGAAATTCCATAGCCGACAGTCCTATTCCTTGCCTTTCTGCTATCTTTATTACACATTTTCTAATCCTGTGCAAGAAAAAAGGGAAGAAAARGTGCTTCTAAGGTGATCCTCAAACAAGTGCCTTTGCAAGAAACCAGACTTTCCCAAAATTAATTTAAACAATTCATTTCAGACTCAGTCATTCACTGATGATTATTTCCATTTTACACCGCATTCCTAATTGACAGCATTAACCATTTATTTTAATGTATGTGTTAGAAATTCTTAAAGTTTGCTCCACATTTCATTTTATTTAATTGATCATAACCTTGAAAGGAAACATTTTATTGTTCTTTGTTAAAAATGAAGGAGCAGTCTTTCCTCAACTGCTTGTTTCGCATTCCTCAGATTGACGTACTCGGGATACCCTGGTGCTAAGCTCGTTCGACTTAAAATACACTTTGTGCGGTTATCACAAAGTCAGTAACACTCAAAATTAGACTGGACGTCCTAGTAATATATTTTTTTCCTATTTCTTCCAGATTTATTAGCTAAAAATCGTTCTTTTTTCTTCATTTATTGATACGATAATCACTATTTCAAATAACATCAGACCTCTCAGGCCTCCAAAACTGAATGCTGCAATTTACACCATATTCGCAGTACCATTTCCAAAGTGAAGAACGTGAAATGTTTCTGCTTGTAATTTTTTTAAAGCATCGGCTTGGAGAGTGGGAGGAATTGTAAGCATCTTTTGAGAAGCAGGAGTATTCCCAGGAGGAAAAGGGTAGCAAAGCTGAAGCTTTATCCAGCAGAAGTCGCTTTCCCTAAGCTGATGCTATTCCGTAATGCTTCATAATGGAGCTCATAAATATGGAAGGTCTTTCCTGCACCATCAGAAAGCTGAAGGCGAGGAAAGAAAGCTCTTGAGAAGGAAAGAGAGGATTGGAGCTGAATTTCTTCGAATCTACAACACTGTTAGATAAAAAAGATACCTGCCCATCGCAGGAGCCGTAATTTCTTACCTTCCTCTCCTCCAAGTGAGGATCACGGTCCCGGCTTCCCTCGAGTTCTTGTTCTAGGGAAATAACTGAAATTTCCTTCTTCCATGTACCAAAAGAAGGGAAAAATCTCTCCTCTCCCACCAGCGGATGCAATTCCAGGAGAGCCCGGCAGGCGCCAGGCTGCGCCCGCCCAACGGCCCCGGCCCGCGCGCCAAGCGCAGCCCCATGGGGAATCAAACCCGATTCCCCTAAATCCCACCGAAACAAACCAGCGCGGCTTTTCCGTCAAGGAGGTGGGCAGAAGGGTGGCCTCTGTGCCAGCAGCTGAAGGCAGCACTGGCTCCGTATCGTTTCCTGGAGGCCGAAATCCAGTCACATCTGTTGGGCTCTGTGCATCTCCAAGAGATGCCCCAAGCCTGGACTCACCTCGGTACCCACTTGTTGCCGTTTTATCCGTTCTGTAAATTTTCCCTGTGTGTCTGGCCTTGTCAGGCGTGAAACCCTCTCTGCACTGCCTGAAAGGCAAAACTGGCAAAAACAAGCGGAGCTTCCAGGAGCTGATGAAGCATTCGCTTAGAAGAGGATATTTGACTGATTTTGTATGAAAAACAAAACAAAACAAAACAAAAAAAACCCAGCAGAGGACAAATTACCTTAGGGTGCTTTTTGGCTTTGTGATAATGCAAAAAGTGCTAGATATTAGTCACAGATTTCATATTTCATGGTAACAATTTCAATAAAAAACAAGATTATTTTTGCTTTGTAATAGTTGCAATTTTAATTTAAGTGACATGGATGTGATGAACTTTTCTTAGGCTTTTTGTTACTGGGACATTCCTCTCTACATGGTTCATGGGCATCATCTGCTATCTGCCCTTGAGCTTCAAAGTAATGCATTTTACCTTGCAGTTCAGGTGACATTTCACAAGGTAAGATAGCCAAGCTGTGAGTTGCACCCTCAAAATGCCCCAGCTTCATCCCATTTAATTACRCGTCTGATTTCTATTCAAATGTAGCTGTCCTGACCAAAATTACTTCATCAACATCATTGCCAATGTATTGCAAGAAAGTGAGGAACCCCATYCAAAAGATTTTAAATGGAATTTTTCTAACCATTTCCATATTCTAACCGAGCATGGAAATTAAGACTTTCTGCTGACAGCAATAAGAGTGCAGATGACTAAATGGACATCTTAGAGTTTCAAAAGTGTCTTTGTAATAGTTGTTTCAAAATTGGTGGAAGAAGCYGCCTTGTTCTGAAAGGAAGACTCTAAATCGCTATAAGCAACACTTGCAGTTTTGAAGGGTTTTTCCAATGATTTTTTTTTCTCAGAAACGCACTGGTCCTCTTCCTCTCCCCTTGGCTCACCCCCACGGCAAGCCTGAATCCCATGATGCTTCCTAGCTGTTTTTCATGGATCGCTGGTCAGGCAGGAGATGAGGTGCTGTAGCCTGTCCAGCGCTCGGAGCATGCTGACTAATGAGTAATGAGCACACGCTCATTGGCTAATTAAGTGCTGCAAAAAGAAGGGGTAATGGTCAGGCTCCGCTTGTCTGCTCCTTGGGGAGGGCATTAACAATCTCTAAATTTCACTGCTTTTTCATAAATTTACCCATACCCAGCACCTTGAAAACCCACTCTGTCTATCAGATTTGCTCTGTATTTTCCAAGTACAGGAGGAGGAAAAGGAAGGCAAAGCTGAGAGATAAGTAGAAGGATGTTACGTTTCTTCTCTGGAAGAAACCTGTTCTTYCACTGTTTGATTTTGGGGGTCTGACTCATGATCAGCCGGGATTGGCAACACTCTTCAGTATTGGCAGGCACAGTGGGTAGGATGACACAAATCCCAGAGATAATATTAAATTTCCAAAGAGTTCAGTAAGATGGAAATTTCTTTTTTAACTCTTCTTCTGTGTCACTGGTGGCAATGTATTCTTTATTATTATGATTACTACTTTTGTAATAATTTTTTTTGATTGATTCGTATCTGGTTACTTCGTCACCTGCTCTTATGTTTGTGGTTATCATTTTCAGAAAAGACTATAAACAATAGAAGCCAAAAAGGATGATAACCAACTCCCATACTGTATGGTTAGAAAAAGTGGATCTTAAAGTCCTGATGAAACTACAATTTAAGTTTTCTTTCTTTCTTTCTTTCTTTCTTTCTTTCTTTCTTTCTTTCTTTCTTTCTTTCTTTCTTTCTTTCTTTCTTTCTTTCTTTCTTTCTTTCTTT